GGGGGGTTATAGTGTAAGGTTTCCTTAAAGTTGCTTTTCTTCAAGGCTTCTTCGTAAAAAGGTTTTGACTGGTCATACGCCTTTTGGTCGGATGAAAGGGATGATATACGCGTGTTTATTGATTTCGGTATATGCTTTATTATCATATATATATATATATATATATATATATATATATATATATATATATATATATATAAACAAGACGCCTACTCAGGCGTTGACACTGACCTGAAAATGATGACATGCGCGCTATGGTGCAATCTCGTTCCCTCAGCCTGCGGTCCTTGGGAAGGAAACGAAGGCTCTGGGATATTCCGTTTCAAGGAGGAATCTGATTGGCCATTGATATGGAATGTGCAGTTCAATCTTAGCCAGAATTCCTGGCTTTTGGCAACGGATTATCCCAGAGGCTTCGTTTCCTTCCCGAGGATCGCAGGCTCGGGGAACGAGATTGGCTATGGTGTAATAGACAAGGGAATAGGGAGCAAGAGAGTTCGTATAGAATAGTTTCAGCGGTAGATACGGTAGATTTATCCAAAGGAAATCAATAATTTGACAACAAAAAGCAGAAGGCAGAAATCACCACTTTATCATTGGCAACTTTTCAACCCGATACCATGCAATTAGTGCAACCTTGAGTGTTCCTATATGTCGTGTGGTGTTTATCTATTGGTCGAGTGTCGAGGGTTAAATGTCGAGGGTAAAACGTCGAGGGCGAGGACAAAACGTCGAGGGCGAGGTAATATGCGTTCCACGCACATATTATAGGCTACTACGTGCATTTTAAACGTACTAACAGGGCAATTTAAACTTCACGGCAAACGGCCTTTTTGGCCGCCGACTGGAATTTTTCTTCTTCGTTCGCTTCATCTTCTCATTGTTATCTCAAAAGAATCATCATATATTACAGTTTTAAAATAGCTAGTTCATTTCCCATTTATTATTATGTAGTAGCTACTGCATGAATTTTAATACATGTGTTATGCTACATTATACACAAGAGAAAAATCCAACACTGATTCGACAGCAGATTTCGTAACAAATGTCTTAGTTCTTGTTCATTGCCAGTGGTATTTTGAACGCATGCTTTATCTCACTTGCGCTAATTCTAGTAGCTACTGCGCGAATTTTAATACATGTCAGTTATATATGGCGCGTTTTTACTGTCAAAATTCAATAGGTCCAATAGTTATAAGTCAAACACCAAATCACCAATGATACAAATCGGGCAACACTTACTCGAATGGAGCTGATATGTAAATCGATTATTGAAATCGATCAATATACGTTCAGAACGAGCAAACAGTATAGCCAAATCGAACGACTTTATACTAGTGCCAGACTACCGTTTATCAATATAGCGCATTCAATATGGCGACGAGCAAGCAGTGTTATAAATATTAATGACTTCGAGTAAATAAATCGGACTATTAAGTGTGTAAATGGCAATAATTTTTGGCTCGCGATATTAGATGTTCTTTCTGCTTGTTGTATTTATGGTAAAAGTAAAAGTGGTTCCCTGTGAAGATTGAAAGTCAAAATTGGAGAGTTTATACGCGAGTATTGGAGATATATTTTATACTTAGGCCGATGGAATTAAGGTATCAGTTTACCGTCACCCGCCCGCGTGTGTTATTGGCAGCCGCGTGAAATTTTCATTATTTCAATATTTTTTCATTATTTGTCAAATTTGTAGAGCAAGTGTTTCAAAAATGGCTTTCTGTTGAAATTATTGGCAAATACTGACTTTGTTTATATAGTTAGCGAAGCCATAGCCTGCGTAGCGAAGCCACAGCGAAATGGAGTCAAAGACATGGCTGATAGCTCGAAAGCTAGCAAAAAGTTCAAGAATCGTCAAAATTTTCTTGGATTTTTTCGGTCAAAATTCGGATTTTTAGGTCAAAATTTGGCAAATTCAAATCGTGAAAAATAATGAATAATGAATAATGAAAAAAATCCGCATCAACTTTTGAAATTTTAGGTGACGGTAAACTGATACCTTAATTCCATCGGCCTTATATATAGGGCTATATATTTTCAATATTTTGAAAAATCACGTACCATGCCATGGAATAATGGATTAATGGTTTATATACAGTAGCGACGTTTACATACATACATACATACATAAAAAATTATTTAAACACGTTAGCCCTAACATCTTTTGATGGTTTCCATAGGGGACGTGTAAGAATAAGACTAATACATATACATAATACAAACTATTTACATGATTATTTTGACAAATTAACAA